TTCTTAGGGATAGTTTCGACTTCACTGAGTGCAAATTACAACTCATTTCCCAGACACTGAATACTGGCTGATTCTAAGATCAATCCACATCCCTTTTTCTGGTGCATTTTACTTTCAGTTCATCATACACAGAAAAATTTCTAGCCAAAGAGAACCAAATGAAAGTACTAAGGACTCTGCAATATTTCTCCTATCATTTTTACCTTCCTTCTGGTGTAAGTCAGCATGTGACGTCTGGAACTATGACAGAGTCTATGAAACTGTGAGGAAAAGCATAGGGAACTGATGCCAAACTCCTTAGAACCTTACAATCACTGAGCTGCTGAACCAGTGTCAACAACTGCCTGCCATTACACTCACGTTATGTGAGAAACACAAGCCTTTTGTATTATTTGTGAATCCATTGTTAGCCTTCTGATACTTGAAAACAAAAGCATTTCTGACTGATACAAGCAAAGTTCTTTCTGCTGTGACTGTATTTGGGGTGGGCCTAATTACTGACCTGTACCTGGGTAAAATAACCTTCATCCCAAAGGGGAGGAGCTAAGATCTCCCTGAGAAGGAGGAGGATATGACAAGTCACTCCACTGAACCTTTTTCTCTCAATAGAACTTTATTAACTGGGGGCTGGGGATTTAGCTCAGCAGCAAAAGCGCCTGCCTGGCAAGCGCAAGGTCGTGAGTTCGGTTCCTGGTACCGGAGAAAAACCAAAACCAAAAAAAAAAAAAAAAAAAAAAAAAAACTTTATTAACTGCTAGCCTCTCTAGCACTTTGCTTAGAAAAGTCACTGAGAATATTGCTTAGGATGACTTTAAGGACTCATATGACAAACTAATGTGATGAAATCTTAGGTTTAATGACTCACTGGTCCTCTGAACCCTGTTTTTTTCTCTCTATTTGAAGCCAAGATCAAAATATTATAAGAAAAATGAATAGTATAAGGTTTTATTTAATATATTAATTAAAAAGATTAAAGCAACAGTTAGCAGCACAACTTTTATTCCATGAACTAAACACATTCCAGGCCCTTTATCTCAGCAGATCAGCATAACTACAGGAAGTCACTGGGAGAAGCCACCTTTTTCAGGACTAGGAGGACCTTCCATGCAGAGATACTGAGACTTTACTGATTCCTTCTCTAACTGTGAATCTCCTCAAATGATCAGCTTCCCAATAACTATCTTCACCACTGAGCTGAATATGGTTTCCCAGATCCCTGCACTGCTTTACTCTCTACCCATATTCGTACTGCAAGGGTTTGACTTTATTAACCTCATCCCCTTCTCCCCTGGCTTCCAGTTTGATCTCACCAATAAGAGGCATCACTAAGAGATTAGAGGGCAGGAAAATGAGGCTGGAGTTTGTATTCCCTCTGTGTTCCTCCCTGCCCAGCTAGCTTCTCAGTGACTACGATCCTCCACCAGGGTGGCCCACTTTCCCCAGAGCAAAGGTCTGGCAGAGACCTGGAGCTGTTCCTTGAGGCTGGTGCAGATTTCTCCCTCCCTCACCACTCTTGACTGTGACAATCCTGGGTATTCTGTCATTCTTCACCCATACCTTGTACCCACGTCCTTGTAAAGTCTCATTAATTAATTCTTTCCTGTTATTATTTGTTAAATATGCCATCCATTTCCTGCCAAGAAACCGGGGTAATGTCTCTACATAGCTGCTACTAGATTTTTTTGCAAGAAACTCCAATTCTTGTGTAGCTTTCTCAGGTGAAGTCACTTCTGGCACGATGTTCTGTGTAGTACAGAAGCTCACAGTCTCTCACACACACCTTGTCACATCCACTGTGTCCAGTGCTCGCACTCTCCTATGGGGCACAGCACAGCTGAACGGTGCCCTGGAGCTCCGCCATTTTCCACGTCACAGAGACTCTGACTCCTGCCTCAGACGTGACCTCTCCACCCAAGCGTACATTTCAGCTTGAGACGCTCAGAGCCCATCCGTGCAACCCATCCAACACGCAGCCATGAAGTTCCAAGAACTTCTTGACCTATACTAACTTTATCTGCTTATTCTTTTACCATTCCCTTCCAAGAGCATTTTGCTTGCCCAACTGTTCTAAGAGAGTTCAAAATTCAACATCAACTGCCGTTTCATTTTTAAATTTCATCATTCCAACTTGTTTATGAAAAGACAACTAGAATCTTCTTTGTGCATTTTCACCCCAGCCATGACCTACCTCATTCTGGATCCATTTCCTTCCTTATTCACTCTGCATACTTCCTATATCATCTTTTGCTTTGCCTTGCCTTGCCTGCCTTGCCTTGCCTTGCTTTTTGGTGGATGGAATCTTGCTATGTTTCCCAGTCTGGCCTTGAACGCATGAGTTCAGGTAATCTTCTGCTTCTGCCTCCCTGCTACACATGGCACCGTTCTCATCGCTCCTAACCAGCACCTTCTTTTTCTGTCCTCACGGTCAATCCCTCGTCCTCATAAAATGATTCAAAATGCCTAGGCTCCATCTATGTAAAGGTAGAAACTGAAAACCCCGCATGCCAGAGTGCAGAAATGTCAATGCACATATCCTTTTATGTACAGATAGACTTTCAGAGGTATTCAACTCTACTTTATATGAGACTGGGCAGTTTCTCCCTCCAATCTTTTCAGAGTAATTCAAGCATCTGCTAGTCTTCTTCACATCTTGTCTTAAAAGTCACAGAAAAAAAACCAGACATCTCAGACAGACTCACATCACCCCTACCTCCTACAAATCTATAAAGGTATGGACCTCAAAGGCAATCCTGACTTATTTCTCCTACCCCCTGGAGGTATTGCTGCTGAACTTCCACACAGAGAAAAACTCTCTACCTGCAACATAAACCCCAGCCCTTCTGGGTGTCTCAGCTGTTCTGTTTTCAGCCCCTACCCCATTGAAGAATCTCCATTGAAGAAGGATCTGCATTGAAGAAAAGTCTCCAGTGGCTTAAATTTCTCAGGCCTTATTCACACTGCAGACCACCTAAGTGGGTTCTGCAACCTGTTTGTGCAATGAATGTGCTCTCGAGAATCTATTGTTAACCTGCTCCACAATTTCAGCCATCATTCTGACTTCCTAGTTTACTCCTCCCAACGGTTTGTTCTAACGATCAAATTCCTTTTAGAAACTCTTTCTTTAAGAGTCTATTCTCTACCTCCATTCCTTCCTCTTGTGTGAGTCCCATTTTGTTTCTTCCTTCTCTTCTTCCAGCTTCTTAAATGCTACAGTTTCTCAGCCATCAATTATTTATTCTCTACCTCTCGCAGTAATCCTGGAAATGTCAGGCTTAGCCAATGACAAAATGATGATTCCCAGATGTTTTCTTACTTTATGCACTCCTGAGTTTCAAATCTAGATTTCAAATTTCCAACAAAATGTGTACACTTGAACAACCAACAGACATTTCCATTTAATACAATAGAACCAAGTCATCTTTCCTCCTTCCTCATTGCTCCAGGAAACAGCAAACTCATCTACTTAGGACATTAACTGAACACTATCCTAGACTCCTCCCCACCCTCTACATCCAATTACAGTTAAGTCCAGTACAGTGTCACTGCCTTGACACACACAACATCTGTATTACCGTCATTGCCATGGCTACGGACCCAGTAATGAAACAGGTCACCGCTCATACCCACTATTGCAGCTATCTACTAGCTGTTTCCCTGCCTCTAACTTTGTCCCTTCCAGTCCTTCAGACAACTACCAGAACAATCTTTATAAAATAGAAACCTGAACTTCATTTTCTATAAAAGACTCTTTTATAGTTTCCAATGTTATACTAGTAAAGGGAAAAATCTCAGGATTAGAGTAATCATTGGATGATCCTATGATTTCAGCCTGTTTTCTAGTAATTCTTAACCTATTTAAAATCCATTCCACATCTCTGCTCACTCACATTCACCCCAAATATCATGATGTTGCAGATCTTTATGCCTTTGTATATGCAATCATGCTTTCAGGAACATCTCCCCCTTGTTATTGGCCTAGAGAAGTCCTACCTGTTTTTGGGCAATCACTGTGGTGAAGCCTCACACAATTACTCCCACCAGAGTGGAACATTTAGCAAGGTCCTTTGTAAGCCCCTATGCAGAACTAACAGCATATCTACTGCACTATGGTGTAATTCTTTGTTTCCAGCTGCACACTCTACTAGACTATAATGTCTTAAAAACACAAGCTGTATTTTTGGATTTCCCACCATATATCATCAGCACTTAAGATGATACTATTAGAGTCCTACTAGAATTGATCACCACCTTAGAGGTAACTTATTTAAATATAAATACAAATCCTTGCAATTGTAATCTTAATATTTAAAACACAATAAAATATAGTTTTGTATTGTAAGGGTTTAAGGAAAAACTAAGTCTCAAAACAAGAAAGAATTTCATGTGCAAGTATGGTTTACTTACACTCCAGACTAAAGGGAATGGGGCAGGTGCCTGAGCAGCTGGTACTGCTTTTATTGACAGCTGTCCTCATGAATCCAATCAATTCTCTGATAAAAGTTTTGAAAAGGTCATGTCAGTGCTCCTTCATTCTGATTCTGATTCTGATTCTGATTTTGTTGTCCGCACAGCACGGTACGGCACATTCTGTACAAACTTAACAGGCTCAGCAAGCTTTGAATGAAAGTTCTATCTTTGTTGCTTTGAGATTTCCAGATGCAGAAGCTCACTGGAGCTCTGGTTTATTATTGGCCATTGTGATACTTAAATCCCTTAAACACTTTGCATTTGTGTACCCAGCACATAGTGAATGAATTTTTCAATTCCTTCCTATTTACTGAGTGCCATTTACTTTTGTACATTTTTATCTAATCTTTTCTTCTCAAAGATTACAAATCCTGTCTTAATGCCAAGCTGTTTCGTCTGCCAGAAGATAGCCCATGAAGTCTCAGTAACTTCTAAGTTTTTTCTTTAGAGAATAATATTTACTATTCCCTTTTCTTAGTTAAGTAAAAATAAAAGTGATTAAGTCGATAGAATAAATAAAAACATTGCTTTACCTTAAACGCTAACCTGTCGTCACCGTTGCTTGGAACGGAAACTATGGACGCCACTCCTGCCTCTGGGAAAACTGGTCCCCTCCCACACGTCTGTGAATTCCCCTTCCCACCTGTCTTTCACAGAAGCACTGGCCAACCCTCTTAGTGCTAACTGGGTGGCCTGGGAACACTAGGTAGACTTCTGGCAGGATTGGCTCAGCTCGCTGTCAATCTCTATTCCAGTCTTGCCCCTTCTCAAGTTTACACTCTTGCTGCCTGGGAAACCCCAGTGACTAAGAAAGCCCAAGCTGCCTGCTCTGGGAGAAAAGCCAGCAGGAAGTTTTTGTAGCAATGTATGGCTTCTTAAATAGCGCCAAAAACTGTCATACAAGTTTCTTTGTTGTTTTTTTTTATAAGGAATGTTCAGTGAGATATCTTTCTTCTTTTAGGCATTCCCTTCCTGCCGTTCTGTAAGGTGGATTATTACCTTATGAAACAAAGCCATGACTCTCAGGAGTAGGCAGGCACAACAGGTGACTCGATGCCCTACTATTAATCTGCACTTACACACTGATAGCTGTTTTTCCATTCTTGATTTCTGCTCCTCTTTCTTCAGCTCTCACTTCTATTTTTACACTTTTTCCTTGGAAATAAGTTTTCCAGATAAAAAGTACTCTAGAGGTCCATGTAGGGGAAATCATCTAAAGAACATTCTCTTTGACATTCTCTTTGACCCCACCCCACACACATCATCCCGACTCCTCTGCTCCATTTGGTTGTGCACTGATGCAAAGAAACAGGATTATAACTATGAAGACTCGAGTTCCTCTTCCTGTTCTTTGTCTTACCTGATATATATTCTCACATGTGGTAGCTGATTTCTGAAATGGGCAATATAACTACTTACCAACTTTTTAGACTTGCCCACAAAGGGTTGGACTTAGTAAATGTTGACATTGGTTGAAAAGATTTCTTAATCTTTCACACTTAAAGAGTGTGATTTGGGGTCTGGGGATTTAGCTCAGCGGCAAAAGCACCTGCCTGGCAAGCGCAAGATCGTGAGTTCGGTTCCCGGTACCAGAGAAAAAAACAAAAACAAAAATGAAAAAAAAAAAAGAGTGTGATTTGAAGGACAAGAAAAGACTATATGTTTGGTACTATTTCCTTTGACTCTCTTTTGGGGTTAGGTGCTATTTCCAGAAAAGCGGGACCACCTTGATTATGGTACATAACGGCTACCAACCAATGAGCAGGTACTAATGTAGGCACAGATTCAGTGGACCTTGAACTTGCGTGACAAGACAGTTATGAACATCTTCTCTAAATGCTACATACCATTTTTTTCTAAAAATGCCTCTCTACACTACAGCAGACCTAGTGGCATTGAGCTGTGCCACTTCACAGTCACTAAATTAAATTATGAAGCTAAATTAACTAGCTATTAAGAAAACTAGCTAGCTATTAAGAAAACTAACTAGCTATTAAAAACTAGCTATTAAGAAAACTAACTAGCTATTAAAAAAACTAACACTATTAAGAAAACTAACTAGCTATTGAAAAACTAACTGCTAATGAATAAATCTGTCTTTAATAAACCACTAAAGCAGTAAAAGTCAACTAAGAACTCTTCTGAGACAGTCTGGTTTGTCTCTATATCTGCCATAGCGCCCTTCAAAGTACTTTGTGCAACCATGAATTCAGTCAGATTTTTTCAAAATTAATAGTTGATCTGTGTAAAATATTTTAGAACTAAGGGAATTTCAGCTATAAAATCTGGTTTTTGGAAACAGTTACTTCTTTTTACTTAAGGATTTTGCATCAGGCCTTAAGTATTACTTTTGCATGGATAAATGGTGACATTTAAATAAACATCTCTCTTGCGATAACCTAAAACTGGAATGTGATAAATGAAGCAAAATAAGGTTGATATGAAGGAAAAATAATCTCAGTGGTGTAGAGGAGCACATAAATAACCATTGTGTGACTGGGTTTTTTGTGGTGTAGTTACATACAAGACAGAAGAATAACTACATAATAAAAAATAAGTGACTTATTAAACTTCATTTTGAGATCTGAAAATACACTACCAAATATAGACCCCAAATATATTCCCCAATTTACAGTGGACTGGCTTTCGATTTTTGAATTCACAATGGTGCAAATGTGGTAATCTCTTCCTAGGCAGCGAGCCACATTTGTAGTCAGCCAAGATCAAAAGGAAAAACAATTAATACCTTATGGTCTGCTGTGCTGCTAAATTGTGATGTTTGATAGGTTATGTGTATTAAATGCACACCCAGCTTGTAAACTTTTCAGCTTACAATGGGTTTATGCTTAAGTTGGGTTTATGTTCAATTAAGTTGGGAGTACCTACATATGTTTTATAAACAAATTCAGAGTGTGTGTCACATTTGATAAATATCACTTAAAGTTCAGTAAATTAAATATTTTGCTTGTGCTTATCATTTTTAAATGTGCAATCCTGTTTATATAGTGTCTAATTCCATTATATACTCTAAGTCCCATTCGTGAAATACACTGACACTAGGTCCAAATCTGTGAACCTGATCCCTAGCGTTAGGATGTTTATCATCAGTACTGTTGTTCCCTAGGGAATAGCTCTGCTTCTTGTACACACATGCTTCCTCTTCTCTCTTCAGAACTGCCCTGATGCTATTTTGGAAATCATTCAAATGTGTTAATCTTCAGATATATTAAAATGCAACAATTATTTACAAGTACAAATGCTAAATTTTAAGACAGAAAGAATTAAAATGCATCTCACCCATAAGCTCTTCAAATATATTTTGTTATGTTTTCTATACAAAACCATATCCACTTAAAGTGTATCATTTGTATGTTTTCATAGACGTGCACATACACAAAACTACCAACAAAATCAAGATACACTGCACAATTTGCTGTCCATGGTCTCATGCAAAGAGTGCTCTACCCTTTGTTGTTGCAGATTAGTTTATATTTTTTTGAATTTCATGTAAATGATACCATTTGGGGGATACTTTTTTGAGTATGGTTGGTATTGCATGCAGTGGGAGCCATGAAAGGATTCTAACTGGAAAATCGTGGACTCCAGTTTCTATTCTGTCAGGACCATGCTTAGAGCCTATAGAGGAGACTTGTAGACATCATTCTGGCTCTAGCTGATATTAAAGGGATTTAGGGATTAGGAGGGGGCAGTGTGTGGAAGCAAAGAACAAAGTCTGTCCCAATAAATTAGCAGGTATTACAGGAGGACGATATACTCTTGGTGGGGAAACAGAGTTTCAAGCAAAGTTCTTGGGTGCCCGGTACAGTGCCACATGCCTGTAATTCCAGTACTGGAGACTCTGAAGCAGGAGGATCGCCATGGGCTCAAGGCCACCCTGAGTTACCTACTGAGTTTGAGGCCAGCCTAGAATACAGAGCAACACTCTGTCTCAGAAAACTAAAATAAAAAAAAGTTCTTGTCTCTGTTCATCACGAGGGAAATAAAATCTGAGCTCTGTCTTCTATAAAGAAGGCTTCACAACTGTCCTCCTTTATACTGTTGCCCCAGTCATCTCAAGAAGTTTTGTAAAAGTGATCAAAATGAAATCTTGTATCACACGTGTGCACACACTTACATGTGACATGATTGTGGGCTCTGTGCCTCTCTGCAGCAAAATTCTCAGAGAATTTTGTAGACATAGACACGGATGGCTACAGATTTTTCAGATGCATTCTCTTCTGGAAGTTGAAGAGGGATTTGCTCTTTTAGAAAATTTCTGAAGGATATACTTATAGTAGGAGCTTCAGCTTGTTTTGAATTGTTCTCGAATATGGTCTGTGGTTCTTCCAGGGTAACCCCCTTCTCAAGCTTTCTTTTCAATGACTCAATCCAACAGGCTCCAGATATTTAAAACTTTTAAGGAGGACTTTTATTCTGTCTGAGAATGCAAAAGCAAATTGATGGAACAATCATTTGAATTCAGGATATTTCATGAAAGCCACCTGTCAGAGAGGCAGTTTGATTTAGTAACTTAGGAATGGAGATCAAAAATAAAAACAATGGAAAATGCAAACACAAAACAGGGGAGAGTGAGCGGTAGACTACATGATGCGATATTCATTCTCCACAATTTTCCCATAGCTTTGTCATAGAAAAACAAAGATAAAAGCTCTGGAATATTTAAGCCATGCATTTCTTTGTTTCTTTTACAAGCCCCTGATATAATCACCAACAGTTCCTACATATGGGGGATTTTTTCCTGTTCTGGTTTAAGAAACTGAATCTGGATTTCTGGCATTGGCTCTAGGATATGATCGATTATACATGAAAGCACTATGATTAGTTCCAGTGGCAAAGAGGCTGCTGATTGTGCAGAGTGTGATGTCACATAAAACAGGCAACTGGACTCTTAATAAAATATTAACCAAGAGCAAGTTCCTGGGCAACTGTAATACAGCAAAATATTTTAGTGGAACTAAAATATAATGAGGATGGCTGGTTACTCCTAACTGTGTAGAAAATGCTTCAAAATTCCAAGTTTAAGGTGCACATAAATCATCTGAGAGTATCTGTGCCTTACCTAGAGAATATACTTGCTTCTTGTAGTCACAAGACATAGGATGCAAAAAATCAAAGGATCTCGTCGCAAGAATGGATGAGTTAGAATACACAAGAAAGTACATGTTTATACAAAGACTAGTATGCAAATATTAACACATGTCTATGTCCACTAGCGCAAAACTAGACACAGCTCAAATTTTCATTGATAGGCAACTGGACAAACAGATTGTGGCAATCCGTACACTAGAATAGTACTAATAATTAAGTATGAATAAAGTATGCATGGATACAATATGAATGAATCTTAAAATAACAGTGCTAAGTAAAATTAGCCAAAACAATAGAGTATGCATTCCCTAGAGAATACAAATAGAGGATGCGACTGGACAAACAGTAACATGTGAGGAAGAAGGGAGAAGGGGTTGAAAGGACAGGAGAAACCTTCTGGGAGATGTTCATGTACTCATATCTGAATAAATAAAGGCATATACATATTCAACATAGCAAATTATATTTTTAAACATATATAGCTTTTCCTGTGCCTAATTTGTTTTAGTAAAGTATTGTCTTTTCT